GGGGGGGGAACCTTCCTTTGAGAGACCGATGGGAGACGCCCCTGGAGGAGGGAGGGGGGACTCTCTCACTCTGAGGGGGAGGCAGACTGGAAGGGGCGGAGTGAAGGAGGTGGAGGGGAGGAGCCTCCTTAAGGGACCCTCCTCCATCCCTGGGGTGGGGGGAGTGCTGGAGGGAAGGTAATATCCACACCTCCTGCTCTCTCTTCCTTTGGGGGGGCAGGGAATACGTGGAGGGGCACAAGGAGGACATCTAGACTCCCACCCACCCCTTCCCTGGATTCCCCCCCCCCAACTTTTCTTCTTCCCCAAATCTTCAGCCCGTTTCCCTCCCTTTGGGTGACTGTCGGGAATCCCCACCTGTTTCCTTTCCCCCTCCACAAAAAGACCCCCTGCAGCCCCCCCATGAGCCTCTCAAAAGGAGGGTCTCCAGCCCCCCCCCTCACTAAAGGGGGAGCCACTTTCGGAGGAGCAACTCAGAGCCCCCCCTCCCTCCGTTCCCCCTCCCCCTCCAGGTCCCGATAGAGCCAGTGGGGGATGATGGGGGTGGGGGTTTCTTGGTCCCCTCCCCAAATTCAGAGCCTCCCCCAGAAGGGACCGAAGCTCCCCTCTTGCCTGACCTCCAAAGCCTCCAATCTGAGATTCAGAAGAAAAAGCGAAGTTTTTTTAAAAAAGCCAAAATTCTTTGCCTCTTTTTTCTTCTGGGGCTTCAGGGCTGAAAATGCCTCAGTTTCCCTCTTTCGCTTTTCCTTCCCTGCCTCTTTCCAGGCAGCCCACTCCGACCCAGACAATGGGGGGGGGCAGAGAGGGGCCCGGCTGCGACCCCCACCTCGGCTACCATCGGGGAACAAGGGAGGGGTCCCTCCTCGTCCTCCTGGGGGGGCAATAGGGGTAGGGAAGGGGAAGGAGACCACGCAGAGATCGAGGTTCTTGGAGGCTCTGGAGACCCACCAGCTTCCTTCCCCCTCCGGGGGTCCTTCCCAGCCCCCCTCCCCCGCCCAGCCCCCTCCTTACCGGGGGTCTCCTTCCCCCCTTCGCTTCCGGGGATCCGGCCCAGCGCCCCCACCAGCAGCACCAGGGGGAGCCCAGCCAAAGCCATGGATGCCGCCCCACAAGCGCCCGCAAAGAGAGGCGAGAAGGACGCGGAGGCTCCCGGCCGCCCAGGAGGAATCGGAGGGTCTGAACTGGGGAAGGCGGAGTTTTCCCCGCACTTCGGAACTGGGAGCGTCCAGGAAGAGCAGGAGGACCAATGAGAATCGTCCCTTCGTGGAGCGTCATCGGTCTCCGGGCAGAGCCTCCCTTGACTGCAGCCGATACAGGAGATAGTTCGGCGCAGAGAGAGAAGCGGAGAAAGTGGGAGGGGGATCCTTGCAGTCTTGGGGGGCTGCATTCATCTCGGGGGTCTTTCCTGCCGGCTCCATGCAGGAGGGGCTGGGGGGCGGAGGGATTCGGGGGGCGAGGTGACGGGAAGAAGGAGGCTCAGAGGCTGGAAGGGACCTTTGAGATCTTCTAGTCTGACCCCCTGGGCGCGGCAGAAGGAGCCCTTATCCCACCCCGGACAAACGGCCGTCCAGCCTCTTCTGGAAATCCCCCCTGATCCCTTCCAGGTCGGATCCCCCTCGGAGGCTTCAGACGATCCCATTTTCCCTCCCAGGGGGATCCCCCTTCTCCGGGCTTCTGTCAGCTGAGGGGCCATCCCTGGAGACGCTGCCCCACTCCGGGATCTGCTTCTGGGATCCCAAGTGAGCGAGGGAGAAGATCCCCAGGGCAGGAGGGGGACTCCGGTCGGTCTTCCCCTCCAGGAAGGGTCGCACGTGGAGTTTCCCGCCACCCAGAGCCCAGCCAAGACCCCCGATCCCCGCTTCTCTTCCGGCCCAAGCCCAGAATTCAGGCAGGTTCCCCGTCTGAGCAGCGGCTCTTCCTCGCCCCACTCCCCAATTCTCAGCCGGACAACAAAGGACCCTCCCCCAGTCTCCCCCCCAAATCTCTCTCTCTCACACAAACACACACACACACAGACACACACAAAGCTTCTTCCTCCAACCCCCATCAGCCGCAGAAGCGTTTCGGTTCCGCTTCCCCAGCCTGAAGCTTTGGGCTCCTCCGAAGCGGAACTGAGGAACTGGCCAGGATCCAGCAGGCAACAAGCCTCGATTCTTCAGGGATTGTCCTCCTCCGCCCCATGGCTGAGTCTCCAGGTGGGGCAGCCCCTTGTTCCTTTGACCCACTGGAAGTGCCTGAAGGGGCCCTTTCCGACTCCCGAGGAGACCTTGGAGAGCCCAGAAAACAAACTGATGGAGGGTTGGACAAATGTCACTCAAAAGACCCAAATTCTCCCCCTTCAGAACCGGTTTTTCATTGTAGTTTGTTAAAGCCATTTGTAAACTTCCTCATTGAGGCCAGCAGAAAGTGCAGCTCCGAAGCCTTTGCTCATTGTGGGGCATGAACCTTATGAGGTTAAGAAAATCTTGGGACTCTTGGATTTTCAGAGGGAAGTTACAATTTCTAATTTATTGGAAAGGCTATCCTATTTCACAAGCAACTTGGGGAAATAGCTGGATAGTGTAGACTGGTGGAAAAATTCCATGAAAAATATCTACAAGCCCATAGCGGATCCTTCGGGTGGCAGAGGAGGTTAAATTGCTGTATTGTATTATTGTGTTTCACTTACTTTCAATCTTTGTGTATTCTATGTCATTGCAGGGGTTTCTTTTCAAATGAGGGGGGGCAGCCTGTCAAGCCCAAAATTGACATATGCATAGCCATTTTATTTAGCCCTATCATATATTCCTTTTTTTTCTTTCTCTTTGCTGGTTATGGGGGGGAGGGGGTTCGGGCTTGCCACATTCCTAAGGTGGGAGGAATAGAGATAGTGAGGATTGTTTAGGCTAGGAAGTTCTCCTTCCTGTGGGAACGAAAGCTGACCCTGCTGAGGCCTGGAGGTGGAGATTGATGACACTGGTGATTTACTTCTATTGAGGAATGTGACTTTTGGGGGTTGTTTCTAATTTCCAATATTACGTGGTGTAATTCGGGTTGTGTCAGATCCAGAATTACAATGGATGTTGCCAATTTGATGCTTTTGTAAATAAAAGAAATTATTTTGGAAGAATGACTTTGCTCTTTTCTTTTTAAATGGATTTCATCACTTGGAAACCTGACAGAAGGATTATATTAGCTTTTTTGGTGGCTGCTGCACACATGTGACATGTTTAAGTCATCATCTATTTGGACTCCCAAGATCCCTCTCACTGTTTTTGAGCCAGATTTCCTGTCATCTGTTTTAACTGCCCAGGTGTAAAATCTTATTTTTCTCCACATTGTTTCATTTTGTTGGATTCAACCTTGTCTCATTTGGATCAGAAAGGGAGAATATCCACACACATACAAATCTATAGAGACATGGTGGGTCAGTGGTTAGAATGCTGTAGTACAGAGGCTGATTGTCCACAGCCAGGGGTTCGATCCTGACCGGCTCATGGTTGATTCGCCCTTTCATCCTTCTGAGGTCGCTGACTTTGTACACTGCTCAGAGAATGTGGTAAAGCATTGTGGAGTGGAATATAACTCTAAGTGGAATTGCTGTTGCTATGTGGTTTCTCCTGAGCATGGATCCTTTTATGACAAGATGATCATTCTGAGCAAAACTCTTCCCACATTCCCTGCATTTATATGGCTTCTCTCCTGTGTGGATCAACTTATGGGAAATAAGATTACTTCTTATTCAATGATATAATCAATAGGATTACTTCTCCATCAAAGGAGAAACTGCCGGGGACCCTCCTGGCTCTGGGCTGAACCCTGGGGTGGGATTCAAATTTCTTAACAACTGGTTAGGTGGGTGTGGCTTGGTGGTCATGTGATTGGCTGGGCGTGGCTTGGTGGTCACGTGACTGGCTGGGCGTGGCTTGGTAGTCACGTGACTGGCTGGGCGTGGCTTGGTGGTCATGTGACTGGCTGGGCATGGCCAACTCGACATCACTCACATCAAGGGGTGCTTCTCACCTGGCCTCTCATGACCGTGGCGATGCTACAACCATCGTAAGTGTGAAAAATGGTCATAAGTCACTTTTTTCGGTGCCATTGTAACTTTGGTCACTAAATGAACTGTTGTAAGTCAAGGATTACCTGTAGAAAAATATAAAAAGCTTCTTTGCTTGCAAAAAGCTGCCCTAAATACCAGTCATTAGATTAAAAATACTTGCAAGCCAGAGTTACAAGTCAGGCATGTTGCCAGAACTCCTTGAGGAATTAAAATAGTTCAAAAGAAATGGTGACTATCAGCAGCCATCTCTTGCTCACAAAGTCAAACCCTTTAGCAGAGAGGCCATTTAAGCTCTCCAGAAAGAGCAC